CAACCGAGTTATATTGGCTGGAACATACGTTCCTGAAGGTTCTATACCATACCATGCAGGTTGATTGGAGAGAGATGAGACTAAAAGCAGCTACCCAAGGTCTGAGGGCGAACACGCACTGCTGACTGAAGAGGCGTGTGACAGCAGTAAGGTGTTTCCCTCGGACAACCAGCATCTGCAGCGAATCTGCCTTCTCACAAGGAAGGAAGAGTTAGAAAAGGCCGACCCTAAAATTGTCACACCTCACCCTACCTCGCGGATTTCCGTCTCCGGTGGTAAGGGAGCCCACAAAGGGCCTTTGAGAGCGGAGCTAATCCACAAAAAACGTTTCATAAAAGGCCGTGCGTGACCGGCCTCAAGCAGTTGTCCCTTGGACTCTGCGGTCACGCTCCGAGGTCGTTAAGACCGACGCTAATCTACCTTCCGTATCAAGTTCTTCAAGAGACACCCTTCCAAGGTGCGGGCAGACGGGAAGTGAAAACCGCCGTCACACTCGTAACAGCACGCGAGACCGAATCGGTCACAATCAAATCCTTCCTACTCTCCTTAACATCTTGTCACATTCCTTTATGACCGCGTAACGCTAATGCAAACAATGAGTTCACAAAACGTCATTTCTAGTCTCCTGAAACCCCGCTCTACACTACATGTTGGAGCACTTAATGTTCGTACATCCTGTCAAATAGGGCAACAGGCATCATTAGCTAGGACTTTAGAATCTCGTGCCATCGATGTATGCTGCGTCTCGGAAACGCGCATACAGGTTCCGAGTAGCGTCATTCACTTGACTTCACCATGTCAAAATAAAGAACCAACTCGATTTACTCTTCGTGTATCTGGAAACCCTAGTGCTGCTTCCTAAGGCCTCGCTGGCGTAGGCATAGCATTGACTCTTAGGGCAGAACAATCTCTCCTTGACTGGATCCCAGTAGATAGTCGATTGTGCACCGTCCGACTAAACGGAACAGTAAGGATTCGAAAGGATAGGGACACTCGTCGTTGCCTCTTCGTCATATCTGCCTATGCCCCCACTGACTGCAGTTCAGACGAGGTTAAAGATGAGTTCTACAGAAAACTTTCGGACCTCCTCCAAAAAGTTAAGCGCTCTGATATAGTAATAATGGCTGGTGACTTCAATGCTCAAGTAGGTAGACTGAGTGAAAATGAAAGACACCTGGGTGAATGTTATGGTGTCGCGGCTCAGAGAACAGCAGTGGCGACCGTCTGTTGCAACTATGCTCAGATAACCGCCTCTTCCTAGCAAACACAAATTTTAAGCATAAGGAAAAACATCTTCTGACCTGGCGACCCCCAAGGTCGTCTCAACGTTGGACGCAACTAGATCATATCGCCATCAGCCACCGATGGAGGGGTTCGATAGAGGACTGCCGCTCGTTGTGGGGCACATGTTTAGATTCAGATCATGCCCTAGTGCGAGCGCGTATTTGTTTGCGCCTTACCGGACGCCATAAAAATATCGCAATAAAACCTCTGAGGGCTGTACTTACTGAATATCAAGCTAAGAATATATTTCAGGAGGAACTAGAAAAACAGTTAGGCGACCATGCAAGTGATTCCCATCCGGATTCAGGTTGGAATGATATCAAGAAGGCTGTGGAAACAGCAGTGATATCTGCTAGTAAGGTAAACCATAAGGCTAGGATGTAGCCGTGGATTTCAGTCGCATCCACCGAACTGATGGATGCTCGAAAACTCATCCCACCTGACCCTGAACATGACGAAGAACGAAGTCAGCTTAGGTGCAGACTGATTAAAAGCATACGTAACGACCTCGAACAGTGGTGGGTGGCGAAAGCAAAAGCGATGGAAAAGGCAGCGGCGATAGGCAACACTAGACAACATTTCCGCCTTATAAAGAAAACCGGTATTAGTAACCCGAATGTGAGTGAGACTATTTCGCAAAAGGATGGCTGTATCAACTGGTCTTCAGCCACACTTCAGTTTTCCCACGATCCCCGGTCATCCTGAATGGCAAATCGATTTAGGTCCTCCTAGTCTACATGAAGTTGAGAAAGCGTTAGGAAAGGTAAGGGCGAAGTAGAGCAGCAGGTCCTGATATGCTTATCCCTGAGGTGTTTAAGGATGGTGGTCTAGTTTTAACAGTTAGACTGACCGAGATCCTAGGTAGAATCTGGGAACTGGACGTAATCGCATCTGACTGGTCTCAGTCGCTAATTGTCCCAATCTACAAGAAAGGACAAAAGTCTTCTTGTGACAATCACAGAGGAATAAGTCTAACTAATATAGATCCTAAATTGTTAGCCTCCATTATACTTAGACGCCTGACTAGAGCTCGTGAAGAGCAGACTAGAGAAAACCAGTCTGGTTTCAGACCTGGACGTGGTTGTATAGACCACATTTCCACACTACGACATGTCCTGGAACACAGACACACCTGTAGGCGTCCCGTAATAGTTGTCTTCCTGGACCTAAAAGCGGCATTCGACTCAGTGGACCGTAAGGTTCTGTGGCAGTGTCTGTCATTGAAAGGTGTACCAAAGAAGTACATTAACCTTATACAAGCTCTCTACTCGAACACCACTGGTCGGGTGAGAGCATGTGGCGAACTGTCATCTGAATTCTCTACATCAAGTGCTGTTTGTCAGGGCTGTCCACTCTCTCCATTCTTGTTTAACTTTGTCGTAGACATCCTCCTAGAGTTAACATTAAGCTCGTCAGATTTTTCCTGGGTTGACCTCCTACCTGGAAAATCGCTTACTGATCTAGAATATGCCGATGTCATAGTTCCGATCGGTGAAGACGCTGACAAAATGTAGTCTTCTGACTACCCTAAGCAACAATGCAAACATGTTCGGGATGCGGTTCTCAACCTCGAAATGCAAAATGTTGCTTCAAGATTGGGTTGCATTGGCACCTGAACTAGTGATAGGGAGTGAAGTAGTCGAACGTGTTGATCACTTCACTTATTTCGGGAGTCTCATCAGTGTTGATGTCCTGGTGACTGACGAAATCTCAGCACGGATGCAGAAAGCTTGATTTGCTTTTGCCAACCTGCGTCACTTGTGGCGTAGGCGAGATATGCGTTTGCTGACCAAAGGACGTGTACTGCACAGTAGTTCGCTCCGTTGGTGGTGGATGAAGTTAAAAGCAGGTGATGTATTAGACTTTATGACAAAAACGACTTAGATTTATAAATGATAGGTATGATTAATTAAATAATCAAGAAACTCTTTTCTGCAGATAAATATCAAAATTTCAAAACATTATCAAATATTCGATCACTAGATTTCATCAGTAATGATATTCTTCATTGTGCAGATTTAATTTATCTAATTCCAAGTGCTTATACAGAAGATATTTATATCATCTTTATTTAATTATTGTATTTGACAGATACCAGGATCAACCTAAAACTTCTCGACTTAAATGAGTTGCATTCCTAAATTTATTATGTAAATTATTCCTAACATGATATTGCAATAAGTATAGCCTAACCATGATTAATGTGACCATGACACTAGGTAACATGATCAGTAAATATCAGTTCTTCTAACACTGTAGACATAGATTAAGAGCAAGTACTAAATATACAGAACTTAGATCTAAGATTTATTGCAACGTTGGGTCTAGATGCCTAGAGATGATTTGGTATAAGTACTGGAGACCTAAACAATTAAGTAATTACCCTTCATGGTTTATTGTAAAGATAGAATAACTGAATAGTAATGGATTTGATTCATACAAAAGGAACACAATATTTGCAGCTTTGAATATTACTATATGCCTGCTTGAATTTCCTATACTTCCGGACAAAAAGAAATACAATAAGGATATAAGTATTTTTTTCAACTACCATAAATTTATCCCATTTTGCAAAATGAATATATATATATATAATTATTTTTTAAAAAGTTATCATTTTCTATCATTTATATGTGATAATGTTAAAGAGTTATAAGTTTTAACTGTTTTCAGTTGATGATAATAAATAATAAAACTCCATTTGCGTAATTAAAACAATTAGCTGACATTCACGACTGATTAAATCTATTTTCTATTATCTACCATATTTATCATTCTTGAAAAAGAGCTAAAATACTGTAATGCCATTAATTAAAAGTTCATTATTTTTTCTATAGTGCATGCAAACTCGTACAGGTTGTCTGTACTTCTCTGTTATGATATCCCTGTACGTTAAAATATGCATATAAAATCCATCATTAGTTTTTGATCTGCTTTATTGGTTTGTTCCAACAGAATCTACTAAATAGTGAATAATAAAAGCATTTACTGTACAATTAAATGTTTTATATTGTATTTAAATCGGAGATTATCATACAATACAATTTCATCTGTATACTTGAAATCTGAGTTCTTGATTGTGTCTTGTCGAAATTCTAGATGTATTAGGACTATTAGTATTTCGTTAGAATATTTGAAATGTATATATGAGTATTTTTATGTGAATAATCCACTTTCGGATAGGATTTTGTTCTTTGTCCATAGCATATTTGGTAACTTTAGAAACCACTTCTTGTGTTTGAATCGATGACGAATTTAATTTTTCATTATGTATTCATTTTTGCATACTTTCTACCTCTCTGGTAATCCATTATACAATATGTTAGCAGATCACTTTAATTTAGCTATTTCTTAAGAAAATCCAATAAGGCAATCCGCTTGTTACGTTTAAATCCCCGTACGTGGTTTACATCCCCACGAATAATATTAGTGACACCGTTCAGATTCCTAAAATCAAGTAGGTGAGGCAACGTTAAAACTTGTGTCCTATCGTTTACTTCTTTCTTGTTGTTGATCTCCTCTCCGAAAGCAGCTTATATCTATGTTCAGTGAAATGAACGAACAATGATATGCAATTATAGTGGTTATCATTTAACTTTACTTAAGGAAACCCTGTTTTCGAATGAATTAAATAGTCTTTATGAAAAGTAAATTACTGAACCATAAAACCGTTACTATTGAAATAACTATAGGCAGAAATTACAAATTGGGGATGAGCTGAATTCAATCGAATGAAAGAAAACTAATTGAAAACTAAATACATGTCATTTTTATTACTCTATCAGAAAATCGTCAAACAAATTGTAAACATTCAAAGTATTCAATCAATTTTTTTCAAAAAAGAACTCAAAACTAAATCCTTAAGATTTATATATTCTGAAATCCGGTTTTCAATAACACAAAATAATCTTAATCAACCAAATTTTCTAGATAATCATTCAAAGTGCCATTTTCATAACTATTTTTGGATAAGGTTTATAGTCAATCAGTTTAAAATCTTCAAATTTAAAGTCATCAATGTTTTTCACCTCCCGAACAATTTCTAACTTTGGAAATGGTCGTGGCACACGTTTAATCTATAAAAACAGGGTAAAGGAAGAAAAAGATTTAACTAGTTTTAGTGATTTAACTTTTCTGATTGAGATTCTACAGCAGTTAAATAGTGAGGCAAAAATGTGATGAGTATATAAAATCTTTGACTATGTATTTGAGGTTCTTTTGAAAGGAAGAAAACTAATTGTACGAATTTGAAGTAAAAATACTAACACTGAATGAACTTATATATCACAATCTAGTCAGAAATATAAAACAAACTACTCTCTGAGGTCTAATTATCATACATATGCAACAATCACATCCTTTATCATACAAAGATAACTCGTTCAGTCACTTATTTTGGTAACCCGGTCACAATACCGACTACAATAAATACTAACTTTGCATTTTGTGATCATGCCCAATCCAGTACAAAAATGCGTATCATTCATTGTTTAACGACTTGATTATTCCTACCTTACATACAAAAATGCCCTACTATCTAAATGCGAAATCATCTGTCACTTACCAAAGGCATCTCATCAAAAGACGTTCATATTTAAGCATTCTTTACCTTTTCATTCTGTTGGTTACATGAATTAATTTTCGTCATGTTAAAATTTTGTCTTTTCAAGTTTATCATGCTTTCGTACCAATAATTTATAAACGATTAATCAAGCTTTGCCTTTAAACTTGCAAATTAATCATACCAACACATTATCTTTTTATGCTGGCATAATCACGCTTTCAATGAATTGTCATTTTATACGTGGATAACAACATGCCTATTCGATACCCGAGCGCTTGGTTTGTACATGCTTTTCCCTTACAGAACGATATTTCAGCATCATGCAGTCATTCCTCAAGTATGATAGTGTCCTATAGAACATTACTTAGCGCTACCAGTTATTAAACTATCTTTACATAGCTTTAGTGTTATTTCAGAAGAAAATATATATATATAAGGACTAATAACTGTACGCATTTACAGAAGCAGTTGTTTTAATAACCACAATCAACAGAACTGCGCAACGGCAGGGACGTTAAGAATATAAAATGTATACAGTAATGTATCACGAATATCAGAGAAAGCAATAAGTGAGTAGCAAGTAACCAGTTCATCACAACTTGGTTGTAACGAACAAACGTTTTTTTATCAAAATCATAAAAAGTACACTGATGTTGGGATTTACTTGCTCGAGTAACGCCACACGATGGTTTGAATAAATATGAGCATCGCCTATTGTGTGGACGAATTCACCAGGTTTCAAACCAGTAACATGAGCAATCATATATGTTAATAAAGCGTAACTTGCAATATTGAACGGTACACCAAGACCCTACGCAAAGAAAAAAGGAAATGTCGAATACATCAAAATGTTGAAAAATAGTGTACACAGGAAATTGGCAGCGGATGTATGACATGAAATATAACTTCGATACATTTCCGAAAAAGCAACTTCTAAAAATGTGTAAATGTTAGTCTTATTAAAAAAACACTTGATATTATTAATTGTGACATCAGAAACAAAACCAATTTTTCATTGAGGTAAGCTAATAAGAACTCCGCTAACCAGAAATCGAACGGGAGGAAGGAGAATTTTAGGCGCTTTAAACAGGTTGGTGGGTACAGAGGATCTACTTAGGGTGGTTGGAAAAGCGTGATCTCAAATCAATGTGGCGCATCAGCTCCAGGTTCCTGACGAAACGAATAGTGTATGAACCTATTGTTGTTTACAAAATACCATGAGACTGCTTCTCTTTACATTGCTCCACTGCCTTGTGAATAAAATATTTAGGTAAAGGCTCAGGAGGTGGCTCCGTAAGAAAACCACCAAGTTCGGTTTGGGCGTCCGAGCAGTATCCCGGCAAATATTTATGTGGCGTATAAATATTTGGGTGGTCCTTTGTACCAATACTTGTTTTCAAACAAATAAACAAGCACAAAAGCATATGCAAAGCTGCATGGGTTTGACTGGACCACACTACATGGAACCAAATCAACTACATCTGCATCAACAAACAGTACGCAACGATCATAAAGAAAGAAGAGAAAGGCTGGTACAACTACTTGATGGTAGCCATGATGAAACTGGAGCTAAAGAAGCATTCAACAAATGGAGAATCAGAAATATAAAAGTTCAATACAGCCTATCCTTGGGATACTGACAAACTCAGTGGATGTAAGTTGCCTCTCAGCATCCGGTTCCAAGCCCCAGAACGTCTACTCAAAAAAGGAAAAGCTGCCACACAGGACAACTAGAAAAAGATCAAGGTAGCCATAACTTTTCAGTAGGTGCTAGGCCGCAAGGGACACCATCATAAGGATTGGATCTCTGATGATTTTGTTGTTATATTTCAGACAACGTTACATACGTACAAAACCAGACCACGTCGCACCAATGAATAGAAAATAACAATTATACATGAATGAGCCAGAAGTGGCTGTGAGCAAGAAAGGCTGTAAATAATAAACTGTCGACAAAATAGGAAACGTCAACTGCAAGTTAATAACATTTGGGTTTATAGAAAGCTTATGATGAAAGAAATATGCATACCTGATGATCTAGTTACTTAATAACTATACAGCAAAACTATAAAAGCTAATGATCCACAAATTGGTTCTTTAAATTAGTACTACTTTATACTTTGTTCGGATATAATATACGAGGAAACTTTTTCAACAGAATGTTAATGAACTAATTGGAAGGTTCAATAGACACAACTTCGGGATCAAAAAGCCAGATTCTATATCAAACCATCATTTTTATTTATTTGCTACTTTTAAGCCAATCGTGAACTGATTATTTGTTAGCTACTCATTTAATTCATCAAACCAATATAAGTCTAGTGCATAATTTCTCAAGTGTTCCGTAAATCGAATTTTTATTGTTATCTCTCCATTTAGACTATCTGGAGTACCATTTAGAAGGTCATATATATATATATATATATATATATTTGTAATAGTTATTAATTTCCCATTCAAATTCATTAAGTGGAGGAGACTTGGTTACTCAGTTATTGGAAGCTAATCCAGAAGCAATGAAATATATTCATGGAATAGTTTCTCAATGCATATTGAAAATAGGTATTTGTATGCAATTGGACATTACAGAACTTTCTTCAAAATTACGGCGTACCTCAGGACACTCACTATCGTATAGAATTCTCACGACGGACTAAAATGCGAAATCGTGTATTGAGAACAGATAACAGACCCGTGTCAAACAAGGCTGCTTACTCTTACCCTAGCTCTTTCTTGTGATGGTTAACTGGATCATGAAAACTTAAACATCTCAGGGGAGGCAAGGCATACAATAGACAGCTCGGATGCAGTTACACGATTCGGACTTCACAGATGACCTAACTCTTCTATCCCACACACAGCGACAAATGCGGATGAAAAGGGCTAGCGTATCAGCAGCCTCTACAGCAGTAAACCTCAACATACACAAGGGGAAAAGCAAGATCTTTAGATACAACACAGCAAGCGCCAAATAAATCACACTTGATAGAAAAGCTAATCTTAGTTGTCCAACCTGCGTCTTATGCGTTTTACTGATTCCAAGTACCTCCACGTTGTGGAAATATTCACATACCTGCGCAGCACGATTGGCAAACAAGGGGCACCTGATTCAGATGTAAATTCACGGACTGGCAAATCAAAGGCTGCATCTAGACATCTGAAACTCAGAAAAACTGTCAGACAACACGAAAATCAGAATTTTTAGTACGAACGTAAAGACCATTCTATTGTATGGAGCTGAAACCTGGAGAACGACTACAACCATCATCGAAAAGGTACAGTTATTTATCAACAGCTGTCTGTGTAAGATAATCCAGATCCGTTGCCCAGAACAAACCAGCTTCCAGATGAAGAGGAAATTAGGAAAAAACACTGGAGGTGGATAGGATACACTTTGTGAAAATCACCAAACTGCGTCACAGGATAAGACGTAACCTGGAATTCTCAAGGCAAAAGGAAGAGTGGCATGCCAAAGACAGTGCGTCGGAAGTAGACTTTAAGGAATGAATAACATTTGGGAACAAGTGGAAAAGAAAGCTACGGATAGAGTACGTTAGAAATCGCTTCGAGATTAACAATCGTAGGTAACACGACAAGCAAATATAACTAAAAGCACTGAGGCCAAATTGTAATACTTTTGTCACTCCTTGAGAAGCTAATACCTATCAATACTAATCAGCCATTTTTACTTAAGTTAGATAAGCTTCACGCATTCGCGATGTTGGAGTTAAGTGCCAGAAAGTTTTGTAATGAAAAGTTAACCAGTAATTAGTAAACTCTAAAGAATTTGGAGGGAACAATCTTTATTCCGACATAATAAAATGCTTACAGTTTCTAAGTCGTGTTTGTCAATTACTCTTTCAGCTTACAAATGTTTTAAAGAATGAAAAATAGCAATCCTTTAAAGCACTGAAAATGCTTACCATATCTCCTGAACGTTGATATAATTGACAACTTAACTCATCATTTGCAACATAAAACTGAACAAGACAATGACAGGGAGGGAGAGCCATTTTACGTAGATCTAAACAAGTAATTAGTATCAAACATTTATGATTTTATTTAGAATAAGCTTAATGTGAGAAGGAAATGTCAACCTAATTCAAAATGAGGCCTTTTGATTGCTAAAAATCTTCAGTTCATTCATCGTTCCAACTTCGCGTATCTTAAGTAATTGTTATTTAAATTATGATCTAAAACGTAAGGAACAGGAAACTCTCAAATTTTTTCTAAACACATAGTGAGTTTTGATTTTCACATAGCCAAGGCTTCAATAAACCTTAGTATATACCCTTAGACACTTAGATAACCTTACAATGATTGACCTGACATCAACCTCATAACCCGTTCTAACCACAGTTTCGCGGTGGGAAAGGGTATCTGTCAATCACGTCAGTATTTGTGTTATATAAATGTATTCAATGACATATACTAAGATCTATTGAAAATTTACTTATCTACGCCTGTTACACCCAAAGAAGCATGGGCTGCTGACCATCGATCTCAAGTATGCTCTATTCTGTGTTTTCTTTTTCACTTGTTCCCAAATGTTATTCATTCAAATATGTCTTGAAAGGTATGTATGATCAGATTATTCAGAATGCACTGTTTAAATAAATCGTATAGTCTGGACAACATTCATCCTTTGATTTCGCTATCCAAATTTTCTCATAATTACTGATATTCCTCTCTTCATTTTTATCTCGTAATAATGTGGTATGGTGAATTGGGTCAACGAACACATGTCAAACTCTGCACTGATGATGACTAGCAAACCGGAAAATATGCTAGCAAGTATAAATTACTCTCAATCCCTACCTAAGGGATTCGATCTAATTAGCATTAGTACTGTTGTACTCATGTGAGTGATTATTGAAGCCATATTTATGACTTGTTTACATATACATGGTACCTAACATCCCATCATAATTAGCAATTTTAGCTTTAGATAAAAAGTTACATTGCAATATTGAGGTAGAGCTAGGAGACAACATAGAACACCACTTAAAGACGCTCTATTATATAAAACATAACAACCAGATTCCCACTCAGTATTAAGTTTAGCCATTCAAAGAAACGAATATATCCTGAAATATTTCAGAAAACGTGGTTGATTTGTTTAAAAATATTTTTTCTTACCTTTGACATTCCAGGCTACGATCAAAATTCTTCTATCCCAAGGGCGTTCACGTATAAGTTTTATTACATCAGCAAGTTGATCAACACCTTGACCAGTATAGTCGGTTTTACAGTCTACATATTCTGCTCCACTGTGACGCCACTGGAAACCATAAACTGGACCAAGATCACCTTCATTATTTCAAGTAAAAATATGGAGCAAGATATAGGCAGCAGGACAACGTAACTAAACACGTGAAAGAGATAATCATACTGCGCTTTAAATTTTTAGAACTAATTCTGTAATTCGTTGTATGAAAAGCGAACGAAGGAACAGATTAGAAAAGGTCGACCGTAAAAATGTCACACCTCACCTTACGTCACGAATTTCCGTCTCCAGCGATAAGGCCTTTAAAAAAGAGCGGAGCCAGAACTTTAAAAACGTCCCATAAAACTGCCATGTGTGACCGACCGCAAGCACATGTTACTTGAGCTGCGCAGTCACGCTCCCAGGTCTCTAAGATCAAAGTTAATTTAGAATTTCGCGCCATCGATGTGTGCTGCGTCTCGGAAACGCGCATACAGGATCCGAGTAGCACCATTCACTTGATCTCACGATGTCAAGATAAAGAAGCAGCTAGATTTACCCTTCGTGTTTCCGGTAGCCCTGATGCTGCTTCCCGAGGTCTCGCTGGTGTAGGTATAGCATTGACTCGTAGAGCTGAACAATCTCTCCTTGACTGGATCCCAGTAGATAGTCGATTGTGCACCGTCCGACTAAACGGAACAGTAAGGACTCGAAAGGATAGGGACACTCATCGTTGCCTCTTCGTCGTATTTGCCTATGCCCCCACTGACTGCAGTTCAGACGATGTAAAAGATGAGTTCTACAGAAAACTTTCGGACCTCCTCCAAAACGTTAGGCGCTCTGATATAGTAATAATGGCTGGTGACTTCAATGCTCAAGTAGATAGTCTCAGCGAAACTGACAGACACGTGAGTGGATATTATGGTGTCGCAGCTAATCGAACAGATAATGGCGACCGTCTGTTGCAGCTATGCTCAGATAATCAAGTATTCCTAACAAACACTAACTTTAGGTAAAGGACATGTCGATCGATAATCTCATGTCGCTTTAAGGACGAGAAACACACCCGCTGTGGGACGTCTGAAAGTATGTCTATATTGTAGGGATGTCGTACTCTGAAAATGCGGTCTATACAGCCATGTCCAGGTCGAAAACCAGCTTGATTTTCTCGAGTCTGATCTTCACGAGCTCTAGACAAGCGTCGTATTATTATTGACGACAATATTTTAGATACGATATCAGTTTGACTGATTCCTCTGTGATTGTCACAAGAGGACCTTTGTCCTTTCTTGTAGACTGGGACAATTAGCGACTGACACCAGTCAGATGAGATTACGTCCAGTTCCCAGATTCTACCTAGGATCTCGGTCAGTCTAACTGTTAAAACTAGACCACCATCCTCAAACATCTCAGGGGTAAGCCTATCAGGACCCGCTGCCCTCCCTTGCATCAGATATCCGTTGGTTTTCTCGACTAGTTCTTTATGGATTTGAAAAAAAGATATAGGAAATCTGAAGCAAAGGAGAGCAGCAGGGCTTGACAGGCGTAACTCTGAGATTCCTAAGGATAGTAGTAAGATTGACTGAGATCTTAGTTGGAACTTGGGGTCAGGGCACAATCCCATCCGACTGGTTTCCATCACTGATTTTCCCAGTTTATATGGCAGGACAAAAGTCCTATTGTGACAATCACAGAGGAATCAGTCTAACTAATATAGTATCTAAAATATTGGCATCAATAATACTCCGACGCCTAACATAAGCTCGTGAAGAGCAGATTCGAGGAAAGACGGCAGGTTTCCCACTTGGAAGTGAATGAATAGACTAAACACTCAAACTACATCAGGTCCTATTCTAGTTCTATCTGGTGAAGATGCTGACAAAATGCAGTCTTCTGACTAACCTGAGCAACAATGCAAACATGTTCGGGATGCGGTTCTCACCCTCGAAATGCAAAATGTTGCTTCAAGATTGGGTTGCGTCGGCACCTGAACTAGTGATAGGGAGTGAAGTAGTCGAACGTGTTGACCGCTTCACTTATCTCGAGGGTCTCACCAGTGTTGATGAATTGGTGTGTGATGAAATCTCAGCACGGATACAGAAAACTCGATTGACTTTCGCCAAACTGCCTCACTTATGGCGCAGGTGAGATATCCGTTTGCTGACTTAAGGTCAGTCAGTTGCAACGTAGAACCACGTACGTATGTACATAAGTTCAGGTTGCCATACCACATTAGCACAAAAACGCAGATGTCAAGTCGAATCCCATAGTGATAAAGATAGAAGAAGCATAATGGTAATGAAGAAGACTAGGGTTTGAAGATATTATTCAAGAAATATAATTAGGTGAAATAAGGTTAGAAAGACAAAGGTAGAGGTGTTGACGAATCCAGAAGATTAGGATTTGAGAGAGCTCAAAGAATGGATGCACTTGGGCCATTGCAAACGATTCCGGGACATGTCGTTAAAGGACTCTAAACATTGGTGACTTTCGTCTCGTGGACCCCGACCAGGTAGTCTACATCTACCAACACGACTCAGTCCACTTGTCAGTGACTTCATGGATTTCTGAAATGTTTTGCTCTAGCCGTCCCTAGATTTCGTCCGACCTGTTTCTACACCGTAAAATATAGCTCGACGAGGCAGTCGGTGGTTAGGCATACGTAACACATGTCCCAACCAACTCAACTGATGAAGTTTCACCACTTCATCTATTGATCTGCTATCCTTACCTATTACTCGTTTCCTAACGACAGCATTGCTCACTCGGTTGTCCCACGATATACCAGCAATGCTTCTTAAACATCTTTGATCGAATACTAGTAACCTACGAACATCTTCTACTCTTAACGGCCATGTTTCACAGCCATATAGGAGAACGGAGCGAACAGCTGCACAGTACACCCGTCCTTTGGTTAGCGAACGCATATCTCGCCTACGCCACAAGTGACGCAGGTTGGCAAAAGCAAATCAAGCTTTCTGCATCCGTGCTGAGATTTCGTCAGTCACCAGGACATCAACACTGATGAGACTCCCGAAATAAGTGAAGTGATCAACACGTTCGACTACTTCACTCCCTATCACTAGTTCAGGTGCCAATGCAACCCAATCTTGAAGCAACATTTTGCATTTCGAGGTTGAGAACCGCATCCCGAACATGTTTGCATTGTTGCTTAGGGTAGTCAGAAGACTACATTTTGTCAGCGTCTTCACCGATCGGAACTATGACATCGGCATATTCTAGATCAGTAAGCGATTTTCCAGGTAGGAGGTCAACCCAGGAAAAATCTGACGAGCTTAATGTTAACTCTAGGAGGATGTCTACGACAAAGTTAAACAAGAATGGAGAGAGTGGACAGCCCTGACAAACAGCACTTGATGTAGAGAATTCAGATGACAGTTCGCCACATGCTCTCACCCGACCAGTGGTGTTCGAGTAGAGAGCTTGTATAAGGTTAATGTACTTCTTTGGTACACCTTTCAATGACAGACACTGCCACAGAACCTTACGGTCCACTGAGTCGAATGCCGCTTTTAGGTCCAGGAAGATAACTATTACGGGACGCCTACAGGTGTGTCTGTGTTCCAGGACATGTCGTAGTGTGGAAATGTGGTCTATACAACCACGTCCAGGTCTGAAACCAGACTGGTTTTCTCTAGTCTGCTCTTCACGAGCTCTAGTCAGGCGTCTAAGTATGATGGAGGCTAACAATTTAGAAACTATATTAGTTAGACTGATTCCCCTGTGATTGTCACAAGAAGACTTCTGTCCTTTCTTATAGATTGGGACAATCAAGGATTGAGACCAGTCGGATGGGATTGCGTCCAGTTCCCGGATTCTACCTAAGATGTCAGTCAACCTAGCTGCTAAAACTGGACCACCATCCTTAAATATCTCAGGGGTCAGTCTATCAGGACCTGCAGCTCGTCCTCGTTTCAGATTTCCTAACGCTTTCTCAACGTCATTAAGACTAGGAGAACTTACGTCGATTTGCCATTCAGGATGACTGGAGATCGTGGGTAACCGAAGAGTGGCTCGTGGCCAGTTGAACTGATCCCTAAAGTGTTCTGCCCATCGATCCAGTCTCCTGGATTGAGAATGGATAATAAGACCATCCTTTTCCGAAATAGTCTCACCCACATTTGGGTTCCTAATACCGGTTTCTCTGATAAGGCGGAAAAGTTGTCTAGTGCTGCCTATCGCCGCTGCCTTTTCCATCAGTTTTGCTTTCGCCACCCACCACTGTTCACGGTCGTTACGTAGGCTTCTTATCAGCCTACGTCTAAGCTGACTACGCTCTTCATCATGTTCAGAGTCAGGTGGGATGCGATTTAGAGCATCCATCAGTTCGGTGGATGCGACTAAAATCCATTGCTTCATCCTAGCCTTATGGTTTACCTTACTAGCAGATATCACTGCTGTTTCCACAGCCTTCTTGATATCATTCCAACCTGAATCCGGATGGGAATCACTTGCATGGTCGCCTAACTGTTTTTCTAGTTCCTCCTGAAATATTTTCTTAGCTTGACTATCATTAAATAAAACCCTAAGAGGCTTCCTTACGGTGTCTTTCCTACGTCCATTAAGCCTCAAACGAATACGCGCTCGCACTAGAGCATGACATCCCTACAATATAGACATACTTTCAGACGTCCCACAGCGGGTGTGTTTCTCGTCCTTAAAGCGACATGAGATTATCGATCGACATGTCCTTTACCTAAAGTTAGTGTTTGTTAGGAATACTTGATTATCTGAGCATAGCTGCAACAGACGGTCGCCATTATCTGTTCGATTAGCTGCGACACCATAATATCCACTCACGTGTCTGTCAGTTTCGCTGAGACTATCTACTTGAGCATTGAAGTCACCAGCCATTATTACTATATCAGAGCGCCTAACGTTTTGGAGGAGGTCCGAAAGTTTTCTGTAGAACTCATCTTTTACATCGTCTGAACTGCAGTCAGTGGGGGCATAGGCAAATACGACGAAGAGGCAACGATGAGTGTCCCTATCCTTTCGAGTCCTTACTGTTCCGTTTAGTCGGACGGTGCACAATCGACTATCTACTGGGATCCAGTCAAGGAGAGATTGTTCAGCTCTACGAGTCAATGCTATACCTACACCAGCGAGACCTCGGGAAGCAGCATCAGGGCTACCGGAAACACGAAGGGTAAATCTAGCTGCTTCTTTATCTTGACATCGTGAGATCAAGTGAATGGTGCTACTCGGATCCTGTATGCGCGTTTCCGAGACGCAGCACACATCGATGGCACGAGATTCTGAAGTCCTAGCTAATGATGCCTGTTGCCCTATTTGACAGGATGTACGAACAATAAGTGCTCCAACATGTAGTTTAGAACGGGTTTTAAGGAGACCAGGAATGACGTTTCGCGAACTCGCATCGTTCGCATTAGCTGTGCACTTTGATAAATGATTGTGAGAAGAGTTAGTCGTGGAGATAAGAGAGGTATTAGGGGGTGTAGGATGGTTTTGATTTCGACCAATTTGGTCTCGTTTGCTGTTACGGGTATGAGGGCAGTTGCCACTTCCCGGCTGCCCACACCGTGGAACGATGTTTCTTGAGGGACCTAAAAAGGAAAATAGATTAGTGTTCAGTCATAATCTTTACAACAGGGGACCCAATCGTCCTACCTGGTGGTTCTTGAGGAACCTGTAAAAAAGGTAGGATAATGAAAGCTTTTTGAGGATTAGCTCCGCTATTAAAGGCACTTAGTGGGCACCCTTACCGCCGGAGAGGGAAATCCGTGAGGTAGGGTGAGGTGTGACATTTTTAGGGTCGACCTTTTCTACCCTTCCTTCCTTGTGAGAAGGCAGCATCGCTGCAGAAGCTGGTTGTTTGAGGGAAACACCTTACTGCTGCTACACCCCTCTTCAGTAAGCAGTACGACTTCGCCCTCAGACCTTGGGTAACTGCTTTTAGTCTCATCTCTCTCCAATCGACCTGCCTGGCATAATAGAACCTTCAGGAACATAAGTTCCAGCCAATATAGCTTGGTTGGGTCATCACGATAGGCAAGCCCGACCACCACGTCAAGGTAGCAGCTTCGGTCGGGGCTGACTTAAGGACGAGTGTACTGTTCAATAGTTTGCTCCGTCCTACTATATGGCTGTGTACCATGGCCAGTAAGGATAGAAGATATTCGTAGGTTACTATTATTTAATCATAGATGTCTTGGAAGCATCGCTCGTTTATCCTGCGACAACGGTGTAAGTAATTCTGTTGTTAGGAAATGGGTGCTAGATAGGAATGGCAGATCAATAGATGAAATATTGAAACTTCATTAGTTGATGTGGTTGGGACGTGTGCTACGTATGCCTAACCACCGACTGCCTCGTCGAGCTATATTTTACGGTGTAGAAACAGGTCGGACGAAATCTAGGGACGGCTAGAGCAAAACATTTCAGTAATCCATGAAGTCACTGACAGATGGACTGAGTCATGTCGGTAGGTGTCGACCACCTGGTGGGGGTCCGCGAGATCGATAGTCAGTGACTCTGAATGGCATAGCTCCAAACCGTTTGCAATGGCGCAGGTGTATTCATTCTTTGTGTCCTCTGAAATTATAATCTTATGAATTTCTCATCACCTATATCTTTCTCGTTCTAAAGTTATCTAACTGAAGTATACTTCTTGAATAGTGTCTTCCATTAGTAATCTTCTCCATTACCACTAATACTTCTACTGTCTCAACCACTATGGAATGTGAACTGACAACTGCGTCTCTGTGCTAATGTAGTATGGCAACATGAACTTATGTTCTACGTTTTAACTGTCTGAGCCATAAGTTAATATAATTCCATATATTACATTAAAAATAACCCTGCTTGATAAACTAGATTAAATTTACTTCCTAGGTTTTTATTAACCGTAACTCTAACTTTCGCTGACTTATGCAGTACTAGGCCTCTGCTTATAATAACTACACTGACAATTGAAAAAATCTGTTTTATGTACAGAAACAAGTGAATAAATTAGTCATGTGTTTTAAATGTCCTTAGGACTGATGTCATTAGTACCAAGGTGCACAAAAGAACAAATTACAGCAAACCTCACTCACCTAAAAAGAACGAAAGCGTATTTATAAATGATCATGAACTACATTAATGACCTCACCTTCCTCACGCTCAGTGAAACCTAATCCGTCCAAGAATTCACGAGATCCATTTCCATCCCAGAAATGTACATTCTTTTCTGCTAGTTCACGAGAGTTTGTAGATCCACGAATAAACCATAACAACTCTTCTACAATCCCACGAAAAAACACCTATCAAATCAAATTACAGAAGACTATACAATTGATAAATTACTTGATTATGACTATATGGTCATCAAGCGGTACGTCTAGGTCAGATTTTAATTTATTGGCCAGTGAGTGAACTATGAAACATATATATTCGTCAGTTTCGGTTTCGGTGACCGGACACTATCACTAATACTTGCAACTAGTTTGGATCGAAACTACGTACGCCGATTTGTATTTGTTAATAACAATAACTTATTTATTACCAGGCATTTTAATCTGACCACGCGACAGTATAATCATACAGAATATTTTACTTCGTAAGGTAGCTTGGAAAGTGTTTGCGAACCAGAATCCTCAAACTTCACACTTTCAGGTTTAGGCAGTTATTTAATATCTTTAATCTTCGCACGATAATAATAGCTTGGAATCTACTGTCAGAAAGTCTGTAATCAGTTAGTGAGTGATGGACTTTAGCTGTAATGTATACAAGGATAAGGGATGCTTGAATAAACGATTTTATAGTATACACAGTCAGTCAGTCAAGTACAACGTAAAACTTCGTAAATACGTACATCAGTTCAAGTTGCCATACCACATTCAAATCACACAGTAGTAGAAGTATCAGCAGTAATGGAAAATATTAGGGATCGAAGAAATGATTCGAGAAGCATATTCCAGTGAAATAAATTATAAATAGAAAAACAGTCATGTGGAATTCATAAGACCCAACTTTTTAGTTATTTCTAGAAAAGATAAGGTTTATGAAAAGGAGCTTGACAACAGTTAACTTAAGGAAATAGATGAGTATTTTTGGTAGTTATAAGGAAATGACTGCATATCTTCAGGCATATATCCTAAACTACAGTGCCCCAGCTCCTAACGTTAATAAAAGAACGAATAACTACTCGTTTCGCAAACTATACAGAAAAACTATTTGATATTAAAGACAGTCATAAATAAAATTAAATAGATGAGAAAAGTATCCATAGACCTACTGTTTTTGTAGTCAGTAGAGGGAATTCATTATTCCTAAGACAAAAGCGAAGCTGTGGGCCAAAAACTGAAAACGTCCCTGTGTCGGTACGATCCGTCCGTTCAACACCCTTGGCAAGTATATATCGTACCAAATTCAGGTAGCCATTTTCACCGAAAATATGCTCAGGAAAAAATGAAAATTCCTCTGTCGGATTTTGAATCTCTAGATCCCTAAATAAATAAAGTATGAGAGTGACAAGAACAAACACATAAAGCAGTCATTAGCTATCGATAGGTTCAAATTCGTCAGTCAGTAAGTTGCAAAGTAGAACTACATACGTAAGTACATCATTTCAAGTTGCCATACCAAATTAGCACAGAGATGTAATTGTCAGTTCAAATCCCATAATAGTAGAGGTAGTAAAAGTGTTAGAAGTAATCGGAGAGATTAGGATTTGAAGATGTTATTCAAGAAGTATAATTCAGTGACATAAGTTTAGAAAGACAAAGGTAGAGGTGTTGAAGAATTCAGAAGACTAGGATTTGGAAGAACACAAAGAGTGGATGCACCTGCGCAATTGCAAACGATTTTGAGCCATGTCATTCAGGGTCACTAACCATTGATTATTATCATCTCGCTGATCCCAACCAGGTAATCGACACCTACCAACACCACTTAGTCCACTGGTCAGTGACTTCATGGATTACTGAAATGTTTTGCTCTAGCCGTCCCTAGATTTCGTCCGACCTGTTTCTACACCGTAAAATATAGCTCGACGAGGCAGTCGGTGGTTAGGCATACGTAGCACACGTCCCAACCACATCAACTAATGAAGTTTCAATATTTCATCTATTGATCTGCCATTCCTATCTAGCACCCATTTCCTAACAACAGAATTACTTACACCGTTGTCGCAGGATAAACGAGCGATGCTTCCAAGACATCTATGATTAAATAATAGTAACCTACGAATATCTTCTATCCTTACTGGCCATGGTACACAGCCATATAGTAGGACGGAGCAAACTATTGAACAGTACACTCGTCCTTAAGTCAGCAAACGGATATTTCGCCTGCCCCATAAGTGAGGCAGGTTGGCAAAAGCAAATCAAGCTTTCTGCATCCGTGCTGAGATTTCATCATACACCAAGTCATTAACACTGGTGAGACTCCCGAGACAAGTGAAGCGGTCAACACGTTCGACTACTTCACTCCCTATCACTAGTTTAGGTGCCGACGCAACCCAATCTTGAAGCAACATTTTGCATTTCGAGGGTGAGAACCGCATCCCGAACATGTTTGCATTGTTGCTTAGGGTAGTCAGAAGACTACATTTTGTCAGCATATTCACCGAATAGAACTATGTCATCGGCATATTCTAAGTCAACCAATGAATCTTCTGGTAGAGGGTATACTCCTGAAAATTCAGACGAAGATAGTGTTATATCTAGCAACATGTCTATGACAAAATTGAACAAGAATGGGGAGAGTGGAGAGCCCTGACGGACACCACTTGAAGTAAAGAATTCCGGTGACAGTTCGCCATAAGCTCTTACTCGACCTGTTGTGTTCGAGTAGAGAGCTTGTATAAGGTTAATGTACTTCTCTGGAACACCTTTTAATGACAGACACTGCCACATAACCTCACGATCCACTGAGTCAAATACCGCCATAAGGTCCAGGAAGATAACTATTGTCGGACGCCTAAATGTGTCTGTGTTCCAGAACCTGTCATAGTGTGAAGATGTGGTCTATACACCTACCTCTGGGTCTGAAACTAGCCTGGTTTTCTCTAGTTAGGCGTCTAAGGATAATTGAGGCTAACAATCTATCAGGACCTGCTGCTCTACCTTGCTTCAGATTTCCTATAGCCTTTTCAACTTCATAAAAACTGGGAGGACTTAAATCGATTTGCCATTCAGGATGACTGGGGATCGTGGGCAACCGAATTATGACTGGAGGCCAACTGAACTGATTCCTAAAGTGTTCCGTTCATCGACCCAATCTCCTGGATTGAGAATGAATGATACAGTCATCCTTTTCTGAGATAGTTTCGCTAACAAATGGGTTTCTAATAGCTGTTTACTTCATAAGGCAGAAAATTGTCTACTTTTGCCTATTGCCGCTGCCTTTTCCATCGCTTTTGCTTTTGCCACCCATCACTGTTTGCGGTCGTTGTGTAGGCCTTTCATCAGCATGCGCTTAAGTTGATTTTGCTCTTCACCATATTCAGAGCCATGTGGGATGAGCTTTCGAGCATCCATCAGTTTGATAGATGCTACTGAGATCCACGGCTATTATTGTTACTATATCAGAACGCCTAACATTTTGGAGAAGTTTAGAGAGGTTTCTATAAAACGTATCTTTCATTTCGTCTCAACTGCAGTCAGTGGGAGCGTAGGCAGATACGAAGAGTCAACGGTGAGTAAAATACGATTATGAATATCGATCAATAGCCAAGTAGCTTGTAGATAAATAAACAGTTAGGTGACATTTATTTAATCTAGATTAAATTGGTTTTTAGGGAAAGAGATGTATACTATTGTAGGATACCAGAAATTTACACAATAGTTAAATTCGTCTTCATCACTTGCGAACAAAGAAAGATCATTAAATACTTCTACTCTACATCAGTCAGTCAGATGCAACGTAGAACTTTGTACATAAGTACATCAGTTCATGTTGCCATACCACATCAGCACAGAGAAGTAATCGTCAATTCAAATCCAATAGTAGAAAAGGTAGTAAGGGAATTAGAAGTAATCGGGGAGGTTAGGATTAGAAGATAATATTCAAGAAGTATAATTCAGTGAGAAAAGTTTAGAGTCAAAACTAGAGGTACTAGAGGACTAAATAATGGCACTACTTTGAAAATATAGAAAACTTTCTGTTCATCACATCTTTTAGAAATATTCCGTTAGCTTTCTGATTCAAGTGTCATTTCCATTCTCAACTAGAGCCTAGAGGCCGTTTGAGTAATTTTTAAATAGACTAACTCATGAGAAAACGTACATCGTGAAATGCTTTTTAATTGTTAAGATGTACATAGCCTACTGAACTCATGAAAACACAGTAGATAACTACACAAACATTAATATTAAACTAGTCGATTTTTTTTAATGTTACTACCTGCAAAAAATGTTTGCATTCACCGTAGTAACGAAGGAGAAAACAATTTGCAGACCATGATTCCTCAGATTATTTGCTTTCACATAGTTCCTGAGTTTAGAAGCTATGACTAAATGACTACAAATAGAACGTTAGTTCCAGCTAATAGCAAATCAACATTAGTACAGAGGTATACTTGTTGGAAACCACCCAAAGCATGCCAAATACCTACGGCTCTATATACCCGATTATTAAAAATCGTAAGACCCCAACATTTGACTAAGTGTAATGTGCATTAGATTACCAAGTAGAAAAACGTGTCTATCAGCCTAAATAGAAAGTGTAATTTAACATACGAATAACAAAAAACAGTACTGATGCGAGCTTCTCGAAGATAGCCGTTTCTCACCAAATGTTTGAAATTGGTGGTTTTTCCACACTGCTTTAGGAAGGTTAGTCTATACTGCGTTTAAAAGGAAAACTTTGTTTACCACACTGTTTCCTTTAAACAAGTCAAACTACCCAATACTACTAGCACAAGAGTCCCTCTTATTGAATATTTCATTAAATGAGTTTGGGAACTAACTGACGTACTTTCTAGTGGAGTCTTCAACTTCACGTGTCTCCATAGCCAGTTTTGTCAGATGATACCAAATAGGACTGAGTAAAATTGTCACAAGGAATTTCGAATATCCAAATTATATCTGAAAAACATACACAGTTGAAATCTAAGTGAGAAGACAACACAAGAACACAATTCAGGTAAGATGAGTCACTAATCGACTACATCTTACAAACGGATATAGTCGACATCCCAAACAAAACCACAAACCATCATTTTATACAACGGTCTAAAGTGTCTTATTTCTAATGCCTACATTAAATTAGCAGTGCGTAAATGCAAGTGTGAATTACTGTTTAAGCTCTGGTGTGTGTGACTATAGTAGTAAGGGGGTATGAATCTTACATATATTGTTAACGGTTGGATGATAATTAGGAAACGAAGAGAGAAACGGAATGTTGTTTAGTTTTTGTGGCAAAACTCTCTAAGCAAAGCGTCTATATAACGTAGAATTTTAGGGAGACTTGATGTAGACCATACAAAAAAACTTGGAACGCTTTTCCCTAAAATTGTGTGTTAGGCGGGTTAACCCGCGAATTATCTCCAGTATATTACCATATAGTAGTGTCAAAGAAAACTCTGCGTACCTCGCTCAAACACGGATTGAGTAAGACTATACTGCACATCCGAAATTTCTATTACAGCTAACTAAAAAGATTAAAGAAGCAAAGAAGACGAGAGACAATGTGTAACTTTAGCCTTTGGTAAGTTTGCTAGGAGATACCGTGTGCAGACAGCATCGGTGGATCAGCATGTCACGTTATCTGGAAGATCAAAGAACAAGTTAAAAAGGTGAGCCAACCACTCAGTAAGCACACTGAATGCACTTACATTCAATAGAGAAACCAATTGATAGCAACCAGAAAAAAAGAATAGAAACCAAAACTTGTTAGAGTAAGGTTTCGAATATGAAACAGATGTATAACATCAGCCTTTGGTTGGTTTACGTTTAGCCAGGAGGTACCTTGTGTGTTGGGGGGTGTGAGGAGCAGCTTGTGAGATTATCTTGAAGAAAGAACCAGAGAAAAAGATGAGCCGACGTCTCAGTAAGTTCATAGAATGCAATTACATTGAATAAATAAATCAGTAGACAGCAAACATAAATAAAACCAGTATGAGATTAAGACAAACTGATAAACGAAGCTACAATTTGTTAGAGTAAGGTTTCGAATGTTACATGCAATGAGTCCGAATGACGCGCAATAACTTAAGGCACTCGTTATCGAACCGAAACTATAACATCCAATATCCAATATATTTTTACGAGCTATTGTAAACTAGTTGATTTCTTAGCGCTCGATTCTTGTTCGTTCAGTAAGTTTCCAGTTATCTGATAGTTTCTAACTGATGGTGGTCCAGCCATCTGACTGCGATAATTCCAGTCAGTTGATACTGGCTTGTGAGTTTGTATGTCCCGTGGTTTGAATGAGTACGCTTATTTCAAGAAATTACGAGTTATGGATACCAGCATCTATCAAGTAACTACGCTGGAATCATTTAGTTTCAGTGTGGGGAATGACAATCTGTCGTCGCATTATGATCAATAAATGTAATAGTCGAAACTAGAAGTTGTTAGAGTAACTTTTCCAATGCTTAACAATGTAGGTCTTCAAAACTGACGCTAACCTCAATAGTTTCGCTGGACACGCCCTATATGAAGATGCTCGGTAGCTCATCTGCGCCAGGTAACCGCTGAGCATACCGTTCGGATCATCTATTCGTATGTACTACTAAGCCTAGTTTCCCTACTCCTGGACATCTCAACTATCATTCAAATATCCCTTCGTTCTCATCATTGATTATTTGCAGCTTGACTTGGCTTTGCATATCCCCATCTGAAAAGTGTTAAACGATTTTTTTCTAAAATCAAACTAGGAAGTTTGCTGTTTATAAGACATGAATGTAAACGACGTTCTGTTAAGCACGGTAAAGCCTAGATGGTGAGTGCATTAAGCCTATATCCAATTAGTACAGAGGCAGTAAAACCGGAAGGCAGCTGAATTACTGTGAGTCTTACCTCCTGACGTAATGGAGTAAATTCTGCTGAAACAGTGAACTTATTGCTTGATGAGCAAGCTTTATGAAGAATTATTTCCATAATGTACACTTTTGCCATGGTAATGCCGTTTACAAAGTGACTGGCTTTATTTATTTTCCGAATGTTAAACGATGACATTAGAACTTGTCAGTTAGTATGGAAACATATCGACGTCTTTGAAAATGCAAAGGTAAGTCTATTGTCTCTCCAAATAAGTTTCATATAGACTGACTGAAGTTAATATGGGTTTCGGCCTTAACTAAATAACTTATCGATCACTAAAGCAAAAATCTTTCAAAGTTTGGTTTAAGTTTCTTAAGATTTCCCTAGCATAGGCGATAAAGCCACTCCCAGTATCATGAATTGACGCTAAAATATCTCAATAAATGCTGCCCGTATTTATTTCACGAGCTTGTTCACAGTGCCATTGAATTTACTTTATCATAGCCTCAGTCCCTATGCATATAACTAATTCCAGAATAGTGAGTTGCTCAAATTACTGCTCCAAATCAGTTATAATAGTAATATTATTATTTTCACATAACAGTTTTCAGAGTAAATCGAGTCATTACAAATGCTATCGCATCTACTGTAACAGGTAATGATAACAGTCTTTTTCTGACAGCGAATTTACACGATGTCACTGGCAGGAATAGTTTGTTACAATCACATTGTTCCAAATAAAGCGCAGCCTATGTGCTGAGTATCTACCCTACTTTTAATGACTAAGAACATTGTAATCAGGCTCTCTGCACTAAATGGCACTCGAATCTACTGTGGTACATTTTCACTGAAAGGCACTCACACCAGACACAAATAGTCTCGAACGTGATCAATAATGCATAGGTTCATCTGCATCATCCTACACCCCTTGCAAATAATGTGCCCTTTTTAAATAAGTGGGACTGGTTTTCATAACTTTTAAACTTCCATTTAGAATGTGTTGAGTATTTCATTGTCTTCTGGAGACGTAATTAAGCTTTTGAGTTATTAAGGGCAATCATGGCCTGAGTACATGAATGGTACGTCTTGCGATGTACATGAACACATAAGACTGCCATAATCGTATATACATGTTAGTAATGCCGGTCTACTACTCCTTATTAAGATGAATATGAAGAAAAGAATTAGTGAATGATGAACGTTTCTTAAAATATTTTCAGTACCAGAAGTTAGACTTTACTGTTGCATCTTTGACGGTTCAATTAACAACTGAATAACTAACGCAGAGGTAACAATAACAATGATCCGTATAAGTAAGTTGTACTGAACTGTTATATCAGCAGTTGAATGACTGAAACAGAATGCAAGGAGACAGGAAGTCTACCTACCCGTTATAAATTATTCTTAAGTAATTCTCCAATTTTCATGTCAATTCTGTGGCATAGTTTTCAAATCACTGCAAGGTTCTCCTACTTCCTGTTCTGACATATTGCAAACTGCGCAAAAGCTCACTTGACGATCCATGGAAAGCTAGAATGTTGGTTGTTTTCATGAGCAAAAAATTTTATTATGTTCTGGGAACATTCTAACTCATTATCAAACCTATTTTAAGTAAAGAACCTGTAAGACAGGATTTTCTGACAAAAAGTATCCGATAAGTTGGTTTCAATGTTGGCGGAAGTACAGTACATTGGATAAATATAGAAATTAATCAGTGGTGTCACGAAAAGCTGAAGTATCAAATCTCCCCTACTACCAGCCTTTGATCAACAATTACACAAAGGCTCAATTTAGCCCAGACATAGAAAATGAAAAACATACTGGTTTATAAAAACAACATTTATTCTAAAACAACAGTGCGTGGCAAATGTTACCACGTTCGCTGTATTCAGCTAATCAGTCAGGTTATTATTGGGAATCTTTTTCTGTCAGCATGTTTACGCCATTTCATTGACCAAACCAATTCGATTCAGCCCTATTTTCGACGAGTGATTACAAATAAAGTCGCAGCTTAGCAGATTTCTTGAAAGGTAAACATAATTCAGGAAAGATTCACCAGACGTTGATCAGAGAGACTTACTTGATTAGTTACTTACGCCGATTGCCCTCAACGAAGCATAAGTGCATAACCAGCATTCTCAAATCTATTCGATCCTGAGCCACCCTTTCCAGTTCTGTCCAATTTTAGTCCATTCTTCTCAGGTCTTTCTCCGTTTCTCGGCGCAATGTGAACCTTGGCATTCCTCTTTTCCTTTTACCTTGAGGGTTACAAGTGGGGGCTTGTCTTGCAACGCAGCTAGGTGCTTTCCTTAATGTGTGTCCTATCAACTTTCAGCGCTCATTCCTGATTTCCTCCTCCAACAAAATCCAGTTTTTTCTTTCCCTCAATAAGTTGTTGCTGATGCTATCTGTCCAACGGATCCGAAGTATTTTGCGAAGACAGCTGTTAATGGATACTTCTGGGTGATGGCTTTGGTGGTTCTCCAAGTTTCCGCCCCATACAGTAGAACTGTTTTGACATTTGTATTGAAAAATCAGAACCAAATCGACAACTAAAAAATTCAGAAAGACGATGGATGAAGTGAGAACCAAGAGAAGAGCTGTTATAGCTTCATATCACCAGTTGCTGTTCACGGACATAAATCCAGCTTCTTACTTCGACTTCTCTTCTATCCACCTGACACTGCACAACTCTCCCTTCTTTTTGCTGTACTCCTTTATCTGTGTGTTATATTCTTATATTCCCATAATTTACTTTAATTTAAGTGGTCAGTATGAATTTTATCTTGACTTACTACTGTATTGACTACTTCAACATGACAGGTTAAGTAGTGCTTCGGTTATATATATACACTTGCCACACTGCTGCCTTTTCCTCTCTCTCTTCTCCTTTTCAGAACCCCATTCACGGTGGGAAATCCTTGGCAACTCTAGGGAACATGCACCCAATATACATGACTGTCTGGATCACAGCTCGTATCAAGCGCGTTCCATATGACCTTTCCCAACAAATTCACTATTGATCTCGGCCAATCGCCAATAGAACCTATTGTGCACCTTTCTCATTTGTACTATAATATTGAAAATGTGGCTGTATAATACTGTTTCTGTCAGTGATATGGTGTAAATATGCAATCAGAAACTGTCTCTTATACTTAATTTAACTGCTATAACTTTTACAGTAATTGTAAAAGCATTTGTGACAATTTGATCTAGCCTGTAAACTGGCGTGACTCTTGTAACTTAGTTATTTGAGAATAAATTATTATTATTATTATTATTATTATTATTATTATTGAAACTCAAGAAGCACTGGAAAACGGATCTAACAACGTCATCAAACTTCCGTTTGGCATTTCCTCGGGATATGGACAAGTTCAACGAATTTAAGATTGCCCTCTGCAATAGGTCACTGGCCCTGCACGACCTACTCAATAGAAAGGAGACTACAATGGAGCACAATTAAAAAGGGATCAAGGAGGCAATCACTTCAGCATGTCAGGAGGTTCTGGGTCAACTGTTGGTACCATAGGTAAGATTTAAGAAAGGAGGAACAAGAAGGCAGCAGTCAACATCAGCAGAACAAGAACATAGAATATTAAGGCAAAAGCTGAAAACACAGAAGCAAACGGTAACGTGAAGAAGAGCATCAGAGCCGACTAACGAAAACTTGTGGAAGATCTTGCTATGACGGCGGAAAAGGCTGCAAGAGAAGGAAACATGAGACAATTGTACGATATAACAAAGAGCCTCGCTGAAGACTATCATAAACCAGAACGACCAATGAAGAGCAAGGAAGGCAGCGAAACAGGTTAGTAGAGCACTTGAATCCACCAGCTCCACTGAACCCATGCAACATCGAACCACCCCCTACAGACTTCTAATCGATGTTAGCCCATCAAAAATTAAAGAGATCAATATGGCCGCCGGACAAATCATTAGCGGAAAGGCAGTAGGTTTAGAAGGCACTCCAGCAGAGGCAATGAAAGCAGACGTTAAAGCAACCGCAAAAACAATTCACATCCTCTTTAACAAGATTTAGAATGAAGATCAAGTACAAACAGATTGAAAAGAAGGGTGTCTCATCAAAATACCAAAGAAAGGCGATCTCAGCTATGTGAGAACTACAGAGGCATTATTCTTCTCTCAATACCAGGTAAAGTCCTCAACACGGTGTTGTTAAACAGAA